GGGGGGCGCTTCACCTTGAAGAGCCACCGACCATCGACTACGTTCACCCCAGGCGGGGGAACTGCATCGACGTAAGTGCCGGTGGACCTCCAAGATGCCATCTCCTGCTCCATGGCAGCTATCCACTGAGAGGCCCAAGGTCCCGAGGTGGCCTCAGCGTAGGTGCGAGGGGTCGGGATGTCGAAGGCGTCTGGGTCACTCTCTGGGACTAGGAGCATGGAGCAGAGATGGGGAGCGGCCTCGGAAAGGAAAGCAAGCTCGTACTGCCTGTCCTCTAGTACGTTACTGCCAAGGGCAGGTGCACCCCCGACAGACGCAGGACGGGCAAGGTCAGAGACCAGAGCGGTAGCATAGTCAAGGCGGTGGGTAGAGGCGAAGTCAGCGACAGCAGCGACAAGCGCGTCAAGGCGAGAGACAGGAACAAACGGGTATGTAATAAGAGAGGCAAGGACCCGAGGGACAAGGGGACGAGCGGCACGGAGGTAGTCAGAGAGCGGGGGAGGTGCAACAACAAGAGACGAGGGAGGAGGCGAGGGGAGGAGGGGAGGACGAGACACGTGAGAACGGAGTAACATAGGGTGGGAGCGCAGGACAGGGGAGACGGGACGAGCACGTGAGGGACGGCGAGACCAAACGTGGGACAATGGTGTAGGGTCAGGAGACAGCGGAGGGGACGCAAGAGGGGAACGAAGAGGAAGACGGGCCGGAGAAGAGTCCGGGGGCGGGAACGGAGGGCTGTAGACAGGAAGGTGAGGAGGAGATGGGGGAGACACCGCCGAGCGGTCAGGGGAGGAAAGGCCGAGCAGGCGAAGAGCGGAGACCGGCGGCGACGACTGTGGCGGCTGGTGCAGCGGCAGGTGCTCGACCCTCGAATCGGCAGGGGCACGACAACCTCCGGGAGAACACTCAACAGCAGCACCCCCAGAACTAACACCCCCAGAGCGAGAACGCCCTCCAGCCCCAGCGGCACCCCCAGGCCCGCCGGGATAGACCACGCCAGGAGCCGCAGGATGAACACCCTCCTCAGCGCCAGCACCCCCAGAGGCCAAGAGCGGCAGCGGCGGCGGCGGCGGCTGCGATGGCGGCGGCGACGGCAGCGGCGGCGGCGGCGACAACAGCGGCGACTGCGACAGTGGGGGGGGGGACACCAGGGAAGGGGGACGCGGCAAAGGCGGGGCAGGGGGACCACCAGAGTCAGCAGACTCCTCAACAGGGACAACTGACGGGAGGGGAGTGACATGGGAGACACTAGACGGGGCAGGACGAGGCAGGAGGGGAGGAGGGGCTACCGGGTGAGTGGGGGCAATGAACAGGGGGGGGGGAACCGGGAGACCTCGGTGAGGGAAGCGACGGTAGAAGGAGACGGACTCGTCAAAGGTGACGTCACGAGAGTGGAGGAAGCGGTGAGACTGCGGGTGGTAGAAGAGCCAGTCAGACAAGTCCAGGGGGAAACCAAGGAAGACACAGGGGATAGTGCGGGCAGTGAGCTTGTCCGTGCCAGAGGCACGAACGTGAGCAAGACAGCCCCAGACGTGGAACGCAGACGCGTCACGGGGGGACCCGGTCCAAAGGAGGGTCGGCGAAACCTGCGGCCGCTGGGAGCGTGGCCACAAGTTAAGCTGGTGAGCGGCGAGGCGAACGGCGAACGGCCACTGAAAATGGGGTGGACCGGCATGGATCATGGAGGTACGAGCCACCTCCATGACCAAGCCGATGCGGTGCTCAGCAACCCCATTCTGCTGTGGCGAGTCCGGCAAGGTGTACGACTGGGTGATGCCCTCCGCACGACAGAACTGTCCAAGCCGACCAGATGCGAACTCGCCGCCATGGTCAGAGTGGAGACACAACACGGGGAGACCGCGGTGAAGACGCGCAGCCACAACCCACGGGAGAAGAACGTCGGGCACGTCGGCCTTCCGCTCCAGGGGAAACACCGTGGTGTAGCGCGTGTAGTCGTTGACGAGCACAAGACAGTAGCGCTCGCCACGCGGTCCGGGGATGGGGGCTGGGCCCCAAACGTCCAGGTGCAGGGTCTGAAGGGGAGCAGTAGCATGGCGAAGCGAGGAGGAGTGAGGGGCACGGCGGAGCCGGCCCTCAACGCAGGGCGTGCACGGTGGAGTAGGCGAGAGGGGAAGGGCGGGGAGCGACGCGGGGAGGCCTAAGACAAGACCGTGCTGGGACATGTGACGAAGACGCGGGAGTGCAGGGTGACCTAGGCGGTGGTGCCACAAAAGGGACGGGTGAGTGAGAGACCGACACGAGCACGCTGCAGCGAACTGGGAGGACGCACCAACCGGGGGGGGAGCGGTGTCGAGGGTAAACAGACCGGACACCGAGTCCCAGGGGAACGTCGCAAGGGGGGAACCTGAGACAGCCTCGGTACAGACAGCGAACCGCTCGTGCGCAGGGAATGTAGTGGTGACGCCGAGGTCCTGAAGACAGCCGACACCAACCAGGTTCCTGGAGAACGAGGGAACGTGAAGGCCTGTAAGGGAGCCTGAGGGGACGGCTGGACAGGGAAGGGAAGTGGAGCTGCGAGCGACGACAGGACCCGCAGAGGGGTCAGCGAGAGCGACAACAGCAGGCGCGGCAAGCGGCGTGAGCGTGGAGCGGTCGCGGAAGAAACAGGCAGAAGCACCGGAGTCGAGAGTGAAGGACAGCGAGGCAGTAGCAGAGGCCGGGGACGATGCCGGTGCAGGAACGAGGCTAGGCAACCTAGGCAGTCCTACGCCTGACGCAGCAGGGGAAGCTAAGCTACACAAGGGTGCTACACCTAAACTAGAGTACACAGGGTAATAAGATCCAGCAACACTAGAAGCGTCAGCATACAAGGCATGCAAAGCAGCACCTATTTGATCCATATCTAACTCAAAGATCGGTACGCCCTGGCGAAGCAGGCTGTGCCAGTCGGGGAGGTCCGGGGCCGGGCCAAAGCGACGACGAAAGAGATCGTCGAGGCGGCGGAAACAGCAGGCGGTCGGGTGCGGGCGGCGGCACAGAGTGCCGCGGAGAGGCCCGGTCTGAAGCTGGTACTGGCAGGTCACAGCACCGGAGCTGCCGGTAGACGCCAAGCTGCGCGGGCCACCACCACGGCCACCACCTCCGAAGGTGCCGGGCCAACCAGGCGGGAGACGAGCCCACGGCTGCGGCGGCTGCTGCTGGGACGGCGGCGGCTGCTGCGGGGGCTGCTCCTGCTGCGAAGGCGACTGCGTCTGCTCCTGCCCACCGGTGGCAGTCCCCTTAGGGGGACTTCCGTCGCCACCACCACTACCACCACCACCAGCGCCACCACCACGACCTCCCTGGCGGCCACGGCCAACGCGGCGCGGGCGCTGCTGCGGGTGGACCACAGCAGCCGTCTTGGTAAGAGGGGTCGCAGTGGCGACTGCAGCCAAAACGTCAGTAAACGTGCACTGGGAGGGGGCACAGCCGTGAAAGATAGAGACTGCCGGCGCACCGCTCGACTGAGCGATAGTGCGCTGGCGAGTCTCGATCTCGGTGAGGGTGTCGACAAAGGCGGTCAGGGTAAGGTCACCCGGGTGCAGGCTAAGGAAGCGGTCGCGGGCACTAGCTAGGCGGTCCGGCAGGCGCATGGCGATAAAATAGAGGGTCATGCAGAATGGGGGGGGGAGAGCAGTGAGCTGGGCAGCAGTGCTAGCAGTGCGATAGCGAGACTCTAGGGCGCGCAAGTGAGTGGCAAAGTCTGCAACAGTAGGGAAGGCAGCAAGGTCTGGGAACAGCATCGGGAAGAGGATGCAGGCGTGGAATAGCAAGCAACAACAGCGTCTAAATAAGATTTGGCCGTATCAATCGTAGCGAAACGCGAGCGCTCAGACACAGGGAGGGCGTGACTGATAGCAACCTGAGCTACTGCATCGCGTGAGTCCCAGACCGCACAGGCAAGCGCAGCAGTAGAGAAAGCCTCACTCTCAGCGGAGGTGGGGTCAGCAGGGAGGGGAGCAGGTGGCCCTCAGCGTCCAGGCGGACCACGAAGTCAGCCATCGTGCAGGGTCAGCGATACAACTCCTCAGTGACACAACAGCACAGCTCCACAGCTCGGCAGGAGCACATCGGCACGGGGACACGGCGGCAGCACTCTCCAGTAGGGCGGCTGCAGGGGCGCCCCAGCGCGGGCTAGCAGAGGACACGGGGCCCGAGGTGGCACGGCAGGCCGAGCAGGCACGAGGAGGGGCCGGGCGGTCGCACTGGGACCGGGCAGGCGCTAGGAGGGGCCTAGCACGCGCGGGGCGGCCGGGCAGGCGCGACTGGGGGCCGGGCAGGCACGAGGAGGGGCCGCGCGGACGCTGCTGGGGCCGGCTAGGAGCGGGCTCGACGGTCAGTGGGCCGGTCAGGAGCGGGCGCGTGGGGCCAGGGGGGGTCAGCTAGGAGCGGGCGCGACGGCCAGTGGGGTCAGCTAGGGGCGGGCGCGAACGGCCAGGGGGCCGGCTAGGAGCGGGCGCAAACGGCTAGGGGGCCGGCTGGGGCCGGACGTGACGGCCAGGGGGCCGGCTAGGGGCGGACGCGACGGCCAAGGGGCCAGCTAGGGGCGGACGCGACGGCCAGGGGGCCAGCTGAGGGCGGACGCGACGGCCAGGGGGCCAGCTAGGGGCGGACGCGACGGCCAGGGGGGCAGCTGAGGGCGGACGCGACGGCCAGGGGGCCGACTTTGGGCGGACGCGACGGCCAAGGGGCCAGCTAGGGGCGGACACGACGGCCAAGGGGCCGGCTAGGGGCGGACGCGACGGCCAGGGGGCCGACTAGGGGCGGACGCGACGACCAAGGGGCCGACTTGGGGCGAACGCGACGGCCAGGGGGGCCAGCTAGGGGCAGACGCGACGGCCAGGGGGCCAGCTAGGGGCGGATGCGACGGCCAGGGGGCCGGCTAGGGGCGGACGCGACGGCCAGGGGGCCGGCTAGGGGCGGGCGAGAGACTAGGGCGCGGGCGGAAGCGGGCGGGTGAACCTAACCTACTCGATACCATGTTAGATTACGTGAATGAATTACTAGAGGGGAAACAGGGAACATATAGCAGTTGGGTTGTACTCACTAAGAGCACACACCGATACTAGCCTATAACTTCTACATGCATGATATGTATAAGTTGACATAAGGGTGGTACACAAAATTAACTCTGAAAATCAGAGAATCAGAGTAATTTACTCGTGAAAAATAGGCACCCTGAGCAATCAGGGTACCTCAAAACCAATCTGATGCCCTGCTCTACACTCACAATTGCTTAATTTGACTAAGGCAAGGAAGCTCTCCTCCCTGCGCCATGCTTGGCCCTGCCATCTCCTCATCTGCTGCTGCACTTTCCCTCCACCTCCAGCACCAGCTTTTGGTACTCAGCAAATCCTGCCTCCGCTGCTGCCAGCCCCTTCACTGTATCCATTAGCTCATTCCCCTCTGGTTAAGGAACAGACATTCCCTTGTCCACTTTCAGTCCGCGGGCACTGGTTTCAGCCAGCACCTGCTTCAGTACTGCCAACTCCCCCTTCATTGCAGCATCATGCATGCCCATGGCTTGATGCATGCCAATGACTTGATGCGTGCCCATGACTTGATGCATGCCCATGACTTGATGCATGCCCATGGCTTGATGCATGCCCATGCCCATGACTCACGCGTGTGACCACCTCATCAAGCATGCATGCAAGAGCAGAGGTGCCATCCAGGAATAACCCACTGAACGAAAAACCGGCAGGGCTCTCAGAATGAAATATGACAATCTAACAATGGCATGCTGACGTGGCATCTTCGGAATGACAGTTGTACTTACAATACAAGCAGCAGAGCTGCCACCTGGACGGGCGCTCCACCCCAGGCCTCCATGCACCCGCAGTGAAGGCGATCTGCGCACTTCAGCCTATGCGCTGGGGCTGGGGGGATGGGAAAATTCAGGAGAAGGGTCAAATTGGAGAGGGGAAGAAGAAATGAGCAGAGGAACGGAACCGACCAAGAAAAAGGGGAAATTTCAGGAAAGGGAGGGGCTGACTAGGGATTGGTTTAGCATGTCGAGGGGAGGACGAAACATAGGAGATCAAAGGGAAGAGGGGAGAGGTCCAGGGGAAGGGGAACAGACTAGGTGGGAAGACTTGGCGAAAGGCCAGACAAGGGGGCATGGGAACAGAAAAAACAGAAAGGAAAAGGGTAAGGGAGGAACGGAAACAGTTTTCCTGGACAGGGAAGCAAGCAAGGGAATGTGGCGAGGGGCTAAGGAAGCCATGTCTGGAAGACGTGGCGGGTTGAGAGTGAGTGCGTGGACGTGGAAAGGGGGAAATGCGTACTGGCACGGTTGGCAATGCCATGCATGCATCATAAATGCCAAGTGTGGCACGAGGGGCACGCGGGGAGTGACAAAGAGGGAGGGGCGGAAATGGGAAATGGGTGAAGAGGAAGGGAGAGGAGAGAAGAAGGGGCACAGCGGAGGGAAGGGATGGGTGCTGCCACATGGCAGCTTTCAGGAACAAGCCACAACACACATTTTATAGAACGACACGTTACAATATATAGATTAGCTAAACAAATGAGCCTACTGGAAGAGCTAATCTATGCGAGTATCAGCCCCTGCAGCCACACTACCAGCCTCAATCCTTCAATCCTTGAAGGACCCGAGCAAATGGGAGGCGAGCGGATAAGCAGAAAGTCAGCAAGGAAGCAAGGCAGCAAGGCCGCGTGTAGCAGTGCCACTCCATCCACCAGAGCAAACCAGCATTCCCAAACACCCTGACAGGCAGGGTGCAAAAAGTGTTGCTCCACCGTACCATCCCACTCTCCCCACCTCCCCATGCCCCCAGGCCATGCCTGCTGCCTGTCCCTCTGCTGCTCCCCACTCCCATCCGCCACGCCCATCCACTGACTCGCCTCCCTCCCATCACACCCATTACACCCACCACCACCTCCCGCTATTGCTCTTCCCCCCCTTCCCCCCGCCACTCCCCCCTCGCGCACGGATGAGCGCGGGGTGGTTGCACACCTGCGCCATGGTGAGCCTCTCCGCCGCGCACACTCGCAGCATGCCGCTCACCAGCGCCCTGCACTCCTCCGACACGCCCTCCCACGCCGCTCCCTCCACGCGCACCCACCACGACCCATCCTGAGGCGCATCACCCGAGTACGGCCGCTCGCCCGCAATCATCTCGTACAGCATCACGCCCAACGACCACACGTCCGCCGCATACCCATACCCTGCCGCTTCTGTGTTCGTTGTTTTCCCTTTCCTTGCCGCCTCTTTCCCTTGCTTCGCCGCTTCCCCGGCGCCAGCGGAGGGCGGGCGGCAGAGGGCGAGGACCTCAGGCGCGAGGTACCCGGGCGTGCCTGCAGGAGCGGTGCACCCGCGCTGCCCGTCCGCCACCAGCTGCGCCAACCCAAAGTCCGCCAGCCGCACCGCCCCCGCTTCCAGGCGCGCGGAGGCAGGCGGGGAGGAGAGAGGCGCAGATCGGGCAGCGGGAGAGGTGCGGGCAGCAGCAGCAGGAGCAGCGGCAACGGCGGCGGCAGCAGACGGCGTGGGCGAGAAGAGGTCTCTGGCGAGGAGGATGTTATCGGGCTTGATGTCGCGATGCACCACGCCCCGCTCGTGACAGAACGCCACTGCTTCGCCCACATGCTTCAGCACCTCCAGCGCCTCCCTCTCCGCCAGTCCCCCGCCTCTCCCCCCTTCCCCGCTGCCCTTCCCCCACCACCTCCTCCCCGTGGCGTTGCTGGCTGCGGCCTTGCGTCGCTCCAGGAGCCCTCGGAGGTCGCCGCCAGAGCACACGTCGGAGAGCAGGTACCCGTGCTGCTCGCTCAGGTGCACCTCACGCACGCCCACCACGCTCGGGCACGCGCTCACCCACGCCGCCATCATCGCCTCGTTCGCCGCGGCCGCCAGCTGCGCGCGCGCCACTTTCTTCACCGCCACCTCCTCGCCGCTCTCCACTCGCCGCATCCGCTCCACCGTGCCGAACCCGCCGCGCCCCAACTCGCCAAGTCTTTCGAATTGATCGCGGTCGAGCACGCCATCGTACGCGTTCAGAACCAGCGGACGCGGACCCGCAAGCGGGGCGGCAGGCGCGTTAGCTATAGCAGGCGGCGGTTTCGCGGATCTCGCGACAGCGGCGGCGGAGTTTCCGGAGGCGGAGAGCGACGAATCGAGCGACGAAACGGAGTCGTCCGACGAGGCGACAAGGGCGATCTTAAACGGCGGGGTTTGGGACGGCGAGGTGGACGCGGGGGACGGCGCGTACCACGATGCCGTGACGAGACCTGCAAGAACAAACGCGACGGAGAAACGGTTGGCACTTGCGTGCTAACCTAACTCGCTCTCGCCTCTACCTGAAACTACAAGGGGTGCTGAAAAGCGGGAGAAGAGAGAGGGAGGGAAGGGGAGTCGAAGAGGATGGTTGTTGTTATTCACGTGGGGTTGGAAAAACCGGTTGAAGTATGTTTCGCGTCACGAAGTACTCAGAATGCTTACCTTCTAGCTTGCCGTCCTGGTAGGGCCTTTCAACATGGCCTTCGCTGGTCGAATTCGCCAGCGAATCGCACGAGAAGGCGGCATGCGCTACTGTCCAGCTGTCCATGACCAAGCAAGAGTCCATTCGCGACTCTAGCGCGATAGCTAGCGAAGCTCGGACCTTCTTTGGAATTGCGAGGTTTAAGAGTCTAATGAAGCAGGAGAGGTTCTGCGAGACGGTCACGACTACTGCTCGAGGCAGGAGAGCCAGCGCAAGACGAGAGGACGAAGAAGAAATGGGAGCAAGTGCAGAGCACGAAGATGAAACAGGTTCAAGTGCTGGTTTATGTAGACAAAGCTTGCAGCCACACGACGAGAGGTTGGGTGGGAGCAATCTCGAGGCAGGGAAAAGTGAGAGGCTGAGATGAGAATGCAGGGGTCTGGCAGGCTGGCAGGCGTGGGTTGCTGCGCGACTGCCTTCGATAACTTCTGGGCTCTGCGCTCCCACTAGGCGCGAACGCAACGCTTTCTAGGATTTCGAGAGCGAAACTTGCGGAGAGTTCCGGGCAGGGTTTGCGATGCCAAAATGGTATCTTCTCCGCTCGATTTGCCCTTGAAAAATCTGTCCAGCGAAGTTCCGGTCCTGCCCCCGCAAAAAGGAAAACGTCTCGCTGCGCTTTTCCCCAACGAAAACCTCGCCATCCGTGGCTGACTCGAACCGCAGCCGAACCGGTACCAAACCTAAATTCCCGAGGTTCTCGCCTAGCCGAAAAGCTTCTCAATATTGCGAATACATCTATAAAGCTTTTGCTATCCAGCGCAAACACAACCATCATTCATAAAAGTGAATCTGAGTAAATTTTGAGGGAATCATAATGAAATTATTTAAATCAAAACTCGGTTACCCTTTGACACAAAATCCTGGGCAATAAACAGATGTAAAATAACTTTTAAAAATCAAAAATCAATTACTGTTTTTGATCTGGTTGGTGAACTACTTGTTTTCTTGCATAATATTCCCTCATCCAACTCGAATCCCATATGTCCGATGTGTTGTGATATGATTCATACTTGTTGGAAATATCTCAAAGGACTTGAGCGTTTCTGAAGTGTAACAATGTACTCGAGGAAGATTACAGGGGAGCACGCGAGTCAACGGAGGTTCCACGAGGGGGCGGACAAAGAATGCGAAAAGACTCGAAAGGTCGCAACTGGAGGTCGCGACTGACCGTTACAACATCACGGATGGTAACCGAAGCGGCAATCGAGTCGCTGTGCGACTCGATAAACCGTTCCTGTAACTGTATTCTACAACTGCTTTCCTATCTTCTATATATTGCTGTATGCTTGTTTCTTCAATTAATCACTTGTTCTCACATACTAGTACAAGGGTTCAACTGCTTCAACCTCCGCTGCACTACTCAAAGTCTGAAAGTCTCTACAGCTGGGACTTAGTCTCTGCAAAAGATCCTAAGGGCTTTTCTCAGCCCAATAATACTTAGCATTTCTGTAAGTCGATTATCGATAGATAGTGTCGAATCCTACTGTAGAAGATAAGTCCGTAGGATGACGTCAGCAAATAGCGCTTGTCATGAGGACAGTCATTTCAGTCACGCGAACAATCGCATCTCTTCAGTGTCATTTACGGCACATAGCGCGATAGTATCAACAGATACATTAGCGAACAGGTACTTCTGTTAGATATAAAAGTAGCCTGTCTTCATTGTTTAGTTAACTTGTAAAAACTTGTAATCTTGGTTAATGTGATTCAGGCAGGCCCCCAAATTGCAGAATTTTTACTCTGATTCAGACCTTTTCAGAGTTTTTTTGGGGGTGTACTGTGATTGGGAAGACTTTTTTTTGTACCCTACTCTGATTTTTCAGAGAAGATTTATGTACCTACGCTGATTTTTCAGACGTTTTTTACTAGTGTACTCTGATGCCTCAACTCTGTATGGGGGGTCGACTCTGATTTGTGTAATGCCAGGTTTAGGGGGGAGCGTGATTTACCTGTGGGGGGGCGCTGATTGGCCCTTAGCCAAAATCAGGGCGAGATGCGTGTTGGGGGCTTTGTGAGGGCAGTTATTGGCCCTTCACCCAAATCAACGGCCAATGCGTACTGGGGGCTGTGTGAGGGAGCTGACTGGTCCTTTACCAAAATCACCTCCCAGTTTGTGATGCGTGCGGTGTGAGGGGCCGATTGGCCCTTCGAAAAATTTGCAGAGGTGTGCCGCGGGCTGTGTGTGCGAGGGCGCCCATTGGCCCTTCACGAAATAGCCACCTGGATGCCCCCAATTTCCCTACCTCCCCTGCAATTTTGATTTGCCCACCCCCCAATTCCTTTCCGCCCCATCCTTCGATTTCGTCCCCCATTCGCAATTCGCCACGATCCGTATCTCCACCAACCGACATCGTCGCGTGCCTCAGGCACGCAAAATTACTAGACAAGGAACGGGGAGGGGGAGGGATAGAAACTCGTGAAAGACTCATCTAAATTTTTAAAATTCGTATGTCAGTCTGTCTGGGAGATTAGAAAAGTAAAAAAAAACTTCTGTCGGGCCTGGCAAGTGCGCTGTACAGTACAGCACAGCCTCGCCATGAGCCTCGCTGATCAACCACACCCGCACCGGCGCGGGGCCGGGCCTAGGGCGCCACGAAATTCCGCGCCGCCGCCAGAACACAGATAGGTAGCGCACGCGAGTGAAAGCCCCTCAAGGGAGAAGTCTGAGGGGCAGCGGTTGGGAAGGGAATGGAAAAGTAACGTGCAAAACAGTAACTTTGAAATCATAGCTAAAAACAATGGTAACTCTGATTAATCAGACAAATAAATTATTGTTACTCTGATTTTTCAGACTTTTTTTAAGGGGCGACTCTGAAGGCCATACCAAGAGATGGCAGGCAAGTCTGATGAATCAGACAAGCCCAAAACCAATTTGGGGGCCTGGATTCAGGACTTGATTCTGAACTTCTTCTTCAGTAAATTCTGGTTACTTCTCTAAAAGTTCTAAGACTTCCGCTGTCTTACTAGTCTACCATTCCAGTAAAGATCCTAGGCTAACACTTGAGGTTTTCCAAGTGTTCGTGTTTGCAGATTCTATACTTAGTCTCCTGCTACACCTGTCAAATTATTACATGGTATGAGAGCTGTCTAGGATTAAGACTACTGTCAACAATGACTGGAACAACACCAGCACAATCTACCGGATCTATTTTCGGAACTATTGGAGTATCTGTCTCCTCGACTGCCACTGATCTCTCAGCCTCTTCACCGTTTCCACCGGCTTATGCGCACATCGGTATGCAGCAGCAGCAGCAAAATCCTTCTTCTGTTAATACTCCAGGGACTTCATCGATTGCCCCTGCAGCGCAATAACAGTAAACACAGGCAACAACACAACAACAGGCAACAACACAGCAGTTTTCAACTCAGTCAATATCGTCGGCGTTTAGTGGAATGAGACTTGACGGTTCAAGTTACATGCGTGGAGCTCCAACTCCAAGTACTGGCTCATTTGCATTCTCACCTTTTACTCAGCAGCCGCAGTCTCAGCAGCAGCACCCCTTTTACATCTTTGGGCATTCACCTGCTCAGCAACAACAACAGCAGCATCAACAGCAGCATCAGCAGCAACAGCAGCAACATCCACAGCAATTTCAACAACAGGAACAGCCTCAACAACAGGGTATTGTTTTTCAGCTGCCGAATTTGCTTAACAGCATACAGATTAAGACCACTATACCTTTTAACGGAGTTGATTTTTACTGCAGGAGCTTCGATTTTGAACTTCTGGCGCAGTCTGCCGGGCTATGGCCGTTCTTCACCGGCGAGTTCACATATCCTGTTACGGGAACACAACTGGAGTAGCAGAGTTTCTTGCACGCCTCTCTCGGGGCGTATACGGTTCTCGTTCGAAACTTATCAGCAAAGGAGCAACTCGGCGTTCGATCTTTTCATTCCAGCTTTACGCCAACTAAAACCGCATGGAACTACTTAAAGGGGGTGTACATGGCAAAGGATACAATCACAGTGAGTAAGATTGTTTCGCAGCTGACAAAAATGCAGATGATGACCAACGAGAATGTCATGGATTACGTCAATCGTGTACGCACACTACGAGATCAATTGGAGAAGAGTGGTGGATACTTTCCTCGTGAGATGTATCTCACGGTCCTTCTTGCTGGACTTGGTCCCGAGTGGCGACAGACGCGCGCCTTCTTGCGCATGAACCCGAATCTCTCCGAAGCCGACATTTCTTCGTATCTTCAAGCAGAACAACAAGATCTTGACCTGCAGTCACAGCGCAATTAGGAAAAGGAGGTACAATTGATTTTTTACTCAAATCCAGAGCCGCAGCAACGGCTTCCCCCGAAGTATCCCTTCTGTCATTTCTGCAAGAAACCAGGACATACTTACCAAACTTGTTGCAGTCGACATCAAAACCGTCGCAGTTCTTCGCAACCGTATCATCGATCGCAGCAGTTATCGAAGTCACATCCGCCAACGCAGCAGTCAACATCACAGACGCAGCAGATGCAGAAACCACCGCAGAATACACCTTCATTACAGCATCGTCCTCCAGTTTTTCCATCTGCAACATCAGGCAAAGGAGTTTTTGGATGTGTTACGACAGTTGATGTTTCAGATACCGATTTCGAGACACAACTTGAAGAAACCACCAGTGCAGAGGGCATTCCCTTACCGCAAGTTTACGCTAACCTTGCTCGAGTCATTTCAGGACCCAATACTTGGTATCTCGACAGCTGTTGTGGTTGACATATGTGCTCCGCTGAAACAAGCTTCATCACCAATCAGCGACCACTTCGTCGTCCGATACCTGTAACATTTGCAAACGGAAAAACCATCATGGCCAGATCAATCGGGAGTGTAATGTTCGAGTCCGTCGACACGGGATATTCCTTACATGTTACCAACGTTCTTATTATCGCCGGCCTTGGTTTCAATCTTCTCTCTACAGCTCAGCTCCTGGCACACAAGATTCGCACACAAGGCAATTGTGATACAATGGATCAGGAGTTATGGCACAATTTGACAAACACTTACCTCGGTCGCGCTGCTACTCAACATGGTGCATCCGTTCTTCAGTTTACGGCACAGGGCACCTCGGGCAATTCTGACCGCGTCCTTGCTCTCGGTTCCTGGGATCATCTGGGAAACAGATGATCAACAAGTTGATATTGATTTTCGTGCAACTACTGTACCCACGACTTTTCGAACTGCAGCTGCCGTTCTTACCGCTCTTGATGCTCGGGAGTTCAATACCGCTGATGAACGCACCAACGCTTGGCGAAC